CTCATTATAATCATCAGTTCTAGTTTTTCATAGTCAGAAAATTAGTGCACTGGGGTTTTTCTAGAGAGTCCATGGCAAGTTCAGATTTTTCTCACGAGGAAAGGCAATGCTAACCAAACCCGGCTCTCTGGGCCCAGATACTGAACTGTGTTCTCACTAGTATTACCCACAACCTATGAAGGAACATAGCTAAGAAGAAAACCCATCTAAGTCCAAGAAAGAAGCATAGTCATTTAATGAGTTCTGAAATTAACTCTGTCCCACTTTGACAGTTTTCTACAGCTAATCCAGTAATAATGATGGTCTCACTTAGAGTCACTGATACTTACTGTGGACATTTTTTTGCACTACCTCATGACGCTTCACCATAATCCTATGAGGTAGGTACTATTACCCCCCACTTTGCAGATGAGGAGACCAAAGTTACTGTACGGGATGACTTGCCCAAGGTCACACAGTGCCAGATCAGAGATTCATGCCCAACTCTATCTGACTCCAGTCCCACGCTACAAATTCTGATACTTTATATTTTACTCCTCCCCTATTTCTACTGAAGTTAAGTTTTTTAAAAAAAAAAGTTTTTCTCTCTGCCAAACTGCAAAGTTGGCTTGGGGTAAGAGTCTAGTTCTACCTATTGGCTTGTCGTAATTACAATAAAAGCACAAAAGGGCTGGGCCCAGTGGCCCACGCCTGAAATCCTAACACTCTGGGAGGCCGAGGCAGATGGATTGCCTGAGCTCATGAGTTCCAGACCAGCCTGAGCCAAAGCGAGACCTCATCTCGATGTTGTGGCGGGCACCTGTAGTCCCAGCTACTTGGTAGGCTGAGGCAAGAGGATTACTTAAGCCCAAGAGTTTGAGGTTGCTGTGAGCTATGATGACAGAGCACTCTACCAAAGGTGACAAAGTAAGACTCTGTATAAATAAATATGTAAGTAAATAAATAAATAAATGCACGAACGCCGGTTCTAAGCTCCTCTAAAGAATGCCAGGAAGACATGCCTGCCTTGCTTGTCTAAGGACTCCCACTTCTAACCCAGAATTTAAGCAGTTTCACAATGGGGAGCTTCAGCCCCAGTTCCCTGCCACCAGGGAACGTCAACTACAGATACTGCTTTTGTAAAAAATAGAATGAAAACAAAAAGTGAGAAATTATGTGATTGCCAACCTAGAGTTTTGTCCTCCAGTAGGACAAAAGCAAGAAAACCTATTTTTAAGCTCCCCTGATCACACATAAATCCATAATTTCCCACAGTTTATAGACTTTCCATCCTTCCCCTCCCAACCTCTAACAGCATCCCCAATTTCCATGACAGTATAAGGAGCATGGAGGCAGCTCTCAGTGGTTTCTTTGACTTATGATCACCCCACACCTTCTACCCAAGAGTGGTAGAGACTATGTCCGCTCTCCGCTTCTACTTTTGAAATGGAAGCACCCCCTAAATAGTGGCTACCTGAAATAAACACATTTCCCACATGCTCCCTTGCAACAAGCTGTGGGTATGTGACTAAGTCCTAGCTAACAGGATACAGGCAGAAGTATCTGGAGCAACTTCCCTCAGTAACACCAACAATGTGTCTTTTGCCTTTCTTTACCCTTTTCTGCCTTCCTGCTGGCTAAAAGAAGAGAGTGATGGCTGGAGAGTCTAACATCCTTCTGGGACCAAGAGATAATTGTCATGCCCTAGGGATGGGAGAGCAGAAAGCTAAAGGGAACCTAAGGACCTGGGCTCTGGACTGCTGACTTAGGTGAGAAAATAAAACCTTATGTGTTTTGCTTAAACTGTGAATTCCATTTTAGGCAGATTCACTTTCAGAAGAAATATGATACTTGGTACCAAAAATACTCAGATAATAAGGAACTCCTTTATGATTCCAGAATTAGTCCCAAGCAATGCTGAGGACCAAGGATAAACTTCCCTCCCTCCTGGATGTCCCCATTCTAAGCATCCCAGTGTCAAAGACTGCCAACGGCCCCACCTTTGCCTCACTCCTCCCTATTCCTACTCAAACAGAATCCACTGTTGAAGAAAGCAGTGACATGGGGTGACTAAATGTTCACAGCTGGATTTTGACTCTTCCATGGCAGCTGGTTCCATAGCAAAGCTATCCTGTAGAGCCAGTCTTCTCTCGCACCAGCTGCCCCACCATCAGGGTATTTTAGGGACAATTACAAGAGCTGATATTTTCAGAATGCTAACTCTGTAGCAAGCTTTAGTCTAAGCATCTTGTTCTGGGTTTTTGTTGCTGTTGTTTTTGTTTGGTTTGGGATTTTTTGTTTTTTGGGGGTTTTTTGAGACAGAGTCTCATTTTGTCACCCTCAGTAGAGTGCCGCAGTGTCACAGCTCACAGCAACCTCAAACTCTTGGGCTCAAGAGATCCTCTTGCCTCAGCCTCCCTTGTAGCTGGGATGAAAGGCTCCTGCCACAATGCCCAGCTATTTTTACAGATGGGGTCTTGCTCTTGCTCAGGCTGGTCTTGAACTTCTGAGCTCAAGCAATCCACTCGCCTCGGCCTTCCAGTGTGCTAGGATTACAGGCATGAGCCACCATGCCCAGCCTTGGTCTAAGCATCTTGAATAATGCCATGACTTGGAGCTGCTCAGCAACTCTAAAGTAGATTATTGGTCCTGTTTTATAGATAAGGACCTGAGATAGAGAGAAGCAAATATGCCTAGGAAGTCTCAAAGCCAGAATTCAAGCTCCCAGGGGTTGCCCAGTAGCCTGTGTGCATACCCACTACTCAATAGTGTCTCTGGAGAATGGCAATTAAAAAATAATAGACACGTCTATCTCCAAAGTGGTCATATTGGCTTGGCGCCTGTGGCTCAAGTGGCTAAGGCGCCAGCCACATACACCTAAGGTGGCGGGTTCGAATCCAGCCCAGGCCTGCCAAATAACAATGACGGCTGCAACCAAAAAAAAATAGTGAGGTGTTGTGGCGGGCGCCTGTGATCCCAGCTACTTGGGACATGGAGCAGGAGACTCGCTTGAGCCCAGGAGTTGGAGGTTGCTGTGAGCTGTGATGGAGTTGGAAGTTGCTGTGAGCTGTGATACCACGGTACTCTACCCAGGGGGATAGCTTGAGGCTCTGTCTCAATAAATAAATAAATAAATAAATAAATAAATAAAACTATCTCCAAAGTGGTCATATTTCATTAGAAACTTTAATTCTGCCTTTTTCTCATAACACCAGAAAATTCCTATCCTATTGTCCAGGCTTTGAATAAAAGAATCTCCTGCTTCAGATGTGTCATGCCACACACATCCCAGAGTGACTTTCCCAGCCATTAGCCACAGCAAAGAAGGTAGCTAGAAAAGCTGTGGTAAACACGTTTAAAAATCACCCCCTGACCTCAGCAAGAGACCAAGACAGAAACCAGTTCATGGAAGTGAAAGGCAACCTCAAAGGAGAAATTACACATTCTGCCATCGAGACACTATCAGTGTTTTACATGAAGGTCAAAGTTCTAGAAAACAATCCAAACTGCACTAAAGCCTAAGTTCTTGCTACTTAAAGGGAGTTGGGGAGTCCTCTGGTGTGGTGCAGAGACTCCACATCTCACTAAGAGAAGCTGGGCAGGTCTGCAAGGCTCACTGGCTGAGCCCACCCAGGCTCAGACCTGGGGGGCGGGGGGAAACAGTTCCATGCTGTTAATAAGCTGCACCACTGACAATGCCACCCACACTCAAAAAGGATCACTTTGCTTTTCCCTAGAGGGTGGAGCTGCAGCAGTCAGACTATCAGTCAATGCTAAATCACATCTCAGACTCGTCTGCACTCAAACACTTTCTTCAGATTTAAACCCAGCTCAGCAGAGTGGTCAATTTACCCCTAAGACACAACGGCCCAGAAATGTGCCATTTCTCCCCAAATTCACCTTTTCCGGGCCCAAAAGTAACAAGACAAAACAGAACAAAACACACACACACAAAAAAACAAACTTTCCAGATCAGAAATGGCGAATTCAAATGCCTACAGGAGGCAGAAATGGGTAAAGCAGATCTGGTGCAGATCAACTGAGGCAAAATGGTGAACACCTGCCCTGTCTCTGAAAACAGCTGTTCTCACCTCCAAACAATTGTTCTAACGTGAGAGCAGCACCATTTCTCAGCAAAGTTGTAGTCGGAAATGTAGCTGTGTGTGTGAAATTGCACACTTCTAAAACGCTGACATCAAATTCACAAAGTGTTTAAGACATCTGAAGAGCTAAACAAGTCTACACGAAATGGGGTCCTGGAGAACCAATTTTCAATCCATCTTTTAGACACAATCCTCAAAGATGGCTGAGGCCACCTCACACATGCTCAAAAGTTGGCATAACTGGTTCGAGTCCAGGATTAGCAAACCAGATGCAAAGACTCAGGTAACCAGTCACTTGGAGTTCTTCCTGTATCTACCCAGAAGATAGAAAAAGCGATTTAAAGTAGGATCTGAGAAGCACCCCATCTGGAACAACTTCTTTCAGACAGGGAGGAGGCCCAGGGGATAACCACAGTTGCCTTTCTAGGGGATGCACCATCTGCAGAGGAGCCAGCCACCTGCAGAGACCTCTCCCAGGCAGAGAAAGAAGCAGAACTTCACTCTGTGAGCCTGAGAAGAACAATGAGCAGGGAAAGGGGCAGGAATTAGGGAAGATGAGTCCTCCCAGAAATGGCCTCTGGAGACTCTTCCTCCCTAAGCAGGACTGGCCATGCCAGGATAGATTCATGAGATTTTGACTCTTCTCCGGCTGTGGAGGGAGAAAGGGCGGATGCATTTCCCAGCTCTGTGGACCTTTCCTGGATGGAGCATCACTGCCCCTTACACACACACACACACACAGACACACACACACACCTTATAAGGACCCTTTTGTGGTGAAGAATTCCATGCCTGAGAGGTCACTCTGACAGAGTGATTCCTCCGGAGAGGTCACTCTGACAGATCTAATTCCTTCACTCTGCCCAATTCAGTCACTTCTGCAAAGTCTTTTCCACAGAAAACCCCAGAGCCTCCTACCTTGACACTGGAATCCCTGCTTCCCGAAGCCCCTGCAAAAGCAGAAGAAGGCACGTCAGGAAGCCGGAGGGGCCCAACCACCAGCTAGTTCCCCTGTCCCTCTCCCCCAGGTGCAAGAGTCTTCCGCCCTTGTGGGTGTATGTGTGAGCTGGGCGGTAACCCCATCTCCCCTCACCCCAGCAGAAGAAAGGAGGCTGAGACCACCAGATGGCGGGATGGGGGGAGCGTTTCCGTCGAAGTGGGGGTGGAAGGCGGCAGGAGATCTACCCATACAGATGCCAGAGTACCCTCGGGGAAAGAGAAGCGATAGAGACCATCCAGAGGGTGGCGGTGGTGTCCCCTGGGGGGACTAGAAAGGGAGAAAGGATGCCCCATGGATGAAGGGAGAAGGAACAGAAAGGGGCCCGCAACGATGTGAAGGGGGAGGTCTGGTGAGTGGAAAGGGGAGCCCAGGCCCTCAGGGAGGCACATTAAGAGATAACACCGGGCGCTGCACAGGAGACAGAGTGGGAAAGGATGCCCCATGCCCGCAGGGAGATAGCGAGGGGACACCCAGGGCTCTGCCTCCGGAAAGGAGGGGTGGGGATGAGGGCCCCTCACACCCGGAAGGAGGAGGAGAGATAGGGAACCCCGGACGAGAGGACACCCAAGGCGCTGCCTTCCCGAGGAGGGACAGACACCCCGCGCTCTGAGCCGGACACTGCCCCTGGGCGCTCGGGAGGCAACAGAGAGCAAAAGAGGGCAGGAGGAGCACCGCGGGCGGCCGTCTGGGACCAGGACAGGGGACCCGAAGGACTGTCCATTAGGGAACCTGGGGAGGGAGAGAGGGAGCGGGGAACCCAAGGGTGCAGGGTCCCTGTGGGGCTTCTTCCCCCTCGGGGGCGCGGAGGGCGCGGAGAGGGGGTCCCCGCGCGCGGCGCTGCCCTCGAGGGCCCCGGAAAGGTGCCCTGCGCCGGCGCGCGCTCACCAGATGAAGTCGGTGCAGTGGCTGCAGAAGGTGGGCTGCTTGAAGAAGCGGGCGGTGAATTTGTGGTTCTTCACCTCGTGCACGTTCTTCTGCCGGAGAGCGCCTTTGCGGGCGAAGCGCACAGTGCTCTCCTCGCCCTCGCTCGGCGGCGGCCCCGCAGCCGGGTCAGCCATCTTGCGCGCGGGGAGCCGGAGCCCGAGAGGTGCCGGCCCCGGGGCCGCGGGACCGCGGGCTGCGGGCCCAGGAGACGTTGGAGGAGGCGGCCGCTGCTGCTGCCGGGGCCGCGGCGCTTCCCCTGCGCCGGCTCTGGCGGCCGCGGCGCGCGGAGCTGGGGCTGTCACTCGCCCAGCTGCGGCCGCTAGTCCAGCTGCGCTTGGCACCGCTGGCCCCAGCTGCGGGGGAGGGAGGAGGAGCCGCGGGAAGGCCCCGCCTTCCTCATTTGCATCGCACCCAGGCCCCGCCCAGCGCCGCCAGCTGCTTTACATATTGGCACTCCGGTGGCTGCCGGCCTCCAAGCGAAGGGCTCCCAGCCGCAGCGCTGCGGCGCGGGGACCGCAGCCTGCGTTCGTCAGATTTGAGCCTTGCCCCCCCACCCCGTCCTAGGCTCGAGATTGCATTAAAGAGATGAGCACCTTGGGTGCCCTCTGGGAGTGCCGATAGTTGCAGGACCTAATGGGGGTTGGAGAGGAAAGGAAGGGGTGGGCGCCGCGGATTCCACCCTGGCCTCTGCAGAGGGGCTGGTACCCATCCAACCCTCATCCAACCCCCATCCACCCCATTGGTCATTCTGCACGCGTCTTCTGAAGGGATGGGCTCCCGCTGTCACTCATTCGAAATGGCTTGTGGCTCCACGCACTTACACACACACATACACACACGTTCTGCAGAGGTAGGGGAGGAGCGATCTTTATTTTATATATATCTAACTCCACCACAAAGAACATTCTTAGCTTTGCTTGCCTGCGCCTTTAGAAGAGAACTCCTTACCTTCTGTCCGTCCTCTCTGCAAGGAAACTCAGTTTCCCCAACTTCAAAGTAGAGCCAATAAGGGGAGGAGGAAGGGAGAAATTTGAACAGATCAATATTTCTCCAAATTTCATTCATTCTCACTCATCTTCACAAATTCTGGTCATATTTGTGCATCGTCTAAAAAAAAGCCTATCTAGTTTGATCTATATGAGTTTGAACAGCAAGAGGGATCTGTATTATTAAAGTCTCTCCAGGTGCTATCATCTGTCCACAGCATCTGTGACTGAGGCCTTCTTTTATTTGGAAGGGAGGAAATTAACAAATGTTAGAGAAATGTTAAAAATACATTAATATCCAACCAGAACTCTCACCTTGATGGAATCTGAAGGTAACTTAACAGGATAATAATTGTCCAGATGTGTAATTCACTTCTGTTTAGCGCCCTCTCTATGCACTGTGCCACACCTGCCCCACCATGACCCTGACTCTGGGAACCCAGAGTTGCATTAGACTCTGAGCTCTATGGCTGGAGCTAGGCTCTGTGAGAGCAGGGGGCTACCCACCATAGTGTCACTCTGCACCAACCACAGTGCTTGACACGTCCTAAGAACACAATAAATATTGGTTGAATGAGTGAGTGGATGAACAAGTGAATGAATGGAGACTTAAAAGACAGCACCACTTCATGCCCAGTAGGTGTTCAATAATAAACATCAATACTTGATGGGTGTCAGGTACTTAAGTTGTCTTATTTATCTTGCTCCCCGCCCCCTCCATGCACACACACAAACAACCTTATGTAGATTGGGTAACTTTCCTCATGGGGAAGGCTGGTAAGGCTCAGAGTGATTAAGATGTCCACCCACAGTCACACCGTTGCTGAGTGGTGGTTGGGCTGGCCTAACTACAAAGCATACTGGTGACAAAAGGATGGACCTGAGTAATGGGGGATGAAGGAGGGCAAGATGGAGTTGAATGAGCTCTAGTCTCACTATGACAATTTTGCCTGGAAGCTGCTGAGTGGTAAGTCATTATTGGGTAGCATGTAGAGAGCAAGGTCTGCAGTAAGAGAATGTCCTTCCCCTACATAGTAATTCAAAGGTAACAAGGTAAAAATAGCATTCACTTTTAAGGTTGACATGTTTGGGAGACTGGATGTGCCTGTCTATTATTAGTCCTTTAAGAGGTCCCACCACCTCCCAGATAGGCTTGGGAAACATCCCAGGAGACAATGCTGCTGAAGTAGATTTCCTTTGAACTGATGAGCTGGAAGCTCACAGCCCACATCCTGCCTTTTGAATGAGGTGCCCTGAATGACTTTGGTCTGGAACAACAAACAGTGCCTCATGGTGCCTGGACCTGGAGATATGAGAGCTGGTGGATCAAGAAAAGACACTCTGTTCCTAAAGAGACTGCGCCAGCTAAGGATGGGAAATGCGGTTTCAGATCCCCATAGGTCGAGGGTCTCAAACTGGTGGCCTTTGGATACTCCTTATTAGCCAGCCCAGTGATTTCTTTTTTAGCTCACATATCATAGAATTTTACCTAAATATCCAGATTCTGACTTCTCTAAGAAAAAAGATACGGCTAAATGGAGCTTGCATTCTTGGACTCATTTATTTGTTTATTCAATCAGCAAATGTTTATTAAGCACCTACTATGTGCTGCTCCAGACACTGTTAAATAAACCAGACAAAAGTCTCTGCCCTCATGGAGTTTATAGTCTAATGGAGGAGGCGGGAAGGAATGGACAAAAGCTTAATCAACTGGCAAATCAATATTGGGTGGTATAGAGATTCATGGTGTAAAATAAAGCATCATAAAGACATAGAGCCTGAGGAAGGACTTTTGTCAGCATGTTGTTGAAATAGTGAGAAGACGCCTGTGGCTGGAGTGGACTAAGAAGAGAGCACGTCTAAGTTGGGGTCAGGGAGGTAGTAGGGCCCTGTGGGGCCTTATAAATGTGGTAAGGAGCTTAGATTTCACTCCAGTGTATGGAAGCCATTGGAAGGTAGGAAGCAGAGGAGTGGCTTGATCTGACCTATTTTTTTTTAAAGATTACTCTAGCTGTTATGCAGAAAATAAGTTGTAGAAGACAAAAGATGGAAGCAGGAGGAGCAGTGAAGAGGTTAACTGCAAGTAGATGAAGCAAGAGATAAGGACACCGTGACATGATGCCTTGTGGAGCTACATGCCAGCAGCTCCCTCTAGACTGTGTATGGGCCCTCCAGGTCATCAGAGCACCCACTGGTCCACTCAGCCCATAAGGGAATGCATACTGGCCACTTGACAGATTTCTGGGGCAAGATGTGGTATGTTGCTCTAGCTGAGAATGGAGTCCAAGATCTCTTCAGTCCAGACCTATGTACTTCATTCCCACAAATTGGAAATCTAAAAGTAATAAGAATGTATTCTTTCATAGTTCATGAAGGTATCAATAGGGCCACACTCGCTCTGGGGACTTTAGAGGAGAATCCTTCCTCACCTCTTCCACTGTCTGGCAGCTGACAGCATTCCTTTGCTCCCTTGGCTTATGGGAACATTAACTCCAATCTTTTCTCTGTCTTCACATAGCCTTCTCTTCTGTGTGTCTCTCTTCTCTTCTGTTTGTCTAATATCACCTGTATATATCTTATAAGGACACTGGTCATTGGATTTAGGGCTCACCTAGATAATCTGGGATGATCGCTTCATCTCAAAATCCTTAACTTAGTTACATCTGCAAAGAGCCTTTTTACAAATAAGATAACATTCACAAGTTCCAGGAATTACAATATGAATATACCTTTTGAGAGGCCACTATTCTGTCTCAAAATATAATGTCACAATTTCTGCCTGATATAAGAGGAAACAGAAGCTTGGAAAAGTTAAAGAGTTCTTGAGGTTACCCTAAACTACTAATAATTATAACTAAAAACTAATATCAAGAAACAGGAAAATATGGCTTTTTTTTTTGATAGTCTTACTCTGCTGCCTAAACTAGAGGGCCATGTCCTCAGCCTAGCTCACAACAAACTCAAACCCCTGGACTTAAGTGACTCTGCTGCCTCAGCCCCCTGAGTAGCTGAGACTACAGGTGTCCACCATGATGCCTGGCTAATTTTTCTATTTGTAGTAGAGATGGGGTCTCACTCTTGCTCAGGCTGGTCTCCAACTCCTGAGCCCAAGGGATGCTCCCACCTTGGCCTCCCAGAGTACTAGGATTATAGGCATGAGCCACTGTGCCCACTTAATATGGCCTATTAAAAAGAAAAAAATAAATAAACCAACAGAAATTGTCCCAGAGAATGACCAGATGGTAAGCCTACTAGACAATGACTTTAAAACGGTTTTAAATATGCTCAAAGAATTAAAGACAAGAACACAGTGCCTAAACAAAATGAAAATATCACTGGAGAAAACCTAAAAAGAAACCCAAAAGAAACTCTAGAGCTGAAAATACACTAAATGAAATGAAAATTTTTGTTTTCCTTTTTAGAGAAAGGGTCTTGCTATGTTGCCCAGGCTGGATTTACACTATGACTATGTTTCCTGGGCTCAAGCAATCCTCTTGCCTCAGCCTCCCTACTGTGATTCACCAAAGACATTCAAAGTTATATTTAAGTAGGCAAGAATAAATCTGCAAATTTGAATAGAGGTCAATTAAAATCACCGAATCTGAGGAACATAAAGAAAAATGATGAAGAAAAGTGAACAGAGCCTAAGGGACCTGTGGAACATCATTAAGCAATATATGCATTGTGGGAGTCTCAGAAGGAGAAGAGGAAAAGGAATTCTTTGAGACATTAGGTGAAGAAATAATGACTGAAACTTTTTGATGAAAGACATGAATATAAACATCCAAGAAGCTCAAAAAACTCCAAGTAAGATTAACTCAAAAAGACTCACACATTATACTCAAACTGTTGGAAGACAAAGAGAGAATCTTGAAAGCACCAAGGAAAAAGCGACTCCATACATAAAAGGTATCCTCACTAAGGTTTTCAGCAGATTTCTCGTCAGAAATTTTGGAGGCCAAAAGGTAGGAGGCTGATACAGTCAAAGTGCTAAAAGAAATACAATGTCAATCAAGAATCCTGTAACTGTCAAAACTGTCCTTTACAAGTGAGAGAGAAATCAAGACATTCCCAGGTCAACAAAAGCTGAGGGAGTTCATCACCTCTAGACGTGTCCTGCAAGAAATGCTAGAGGGGGCCCGGCAGTTTATAATGAAAGAACACTGAACAGTAATTTGAAGCAATGTGAAGAAATAAAGATTTTGGCTAAATATAGGGCCACTAAAAATGCTAGTGTTATCATAAAAGCTATTTGTAACCCCACTTTTTGTTTTCTACATGATTTTTGAGACT